CCGTAGGTGTCTTCTTATGTTATGTCTTTGCTGTTCAGTCTATGCCAAGAGCTCAACAGAACTGGTGCGCACACCGTACAAAGGTAACGTGGTGGCAATTGTACATACTCATTTGCTAAAGCCGGATGTTCTTTTCCTTGTATTTCCATTAAAGAAAAAAACGTTCGCATTCAACCAAACTTCAGAGCTATTGCCGTAGCTCAGTGACAAACTGGCACCCGAGGGTCCATAAAGTGATTCTTTTAATAGAGTGGTATGCTCCAGAAACCATACAGTTTTCATCTCCACTATTTGAAAGTAAATTGGAAATTATCGCATTGTTCTTATTTTTAAACGCAAAGTGCAACAAAACCTTAGAAGATGTGCGTGATATTCGACTGTGGACACCACCATCTCGAATCTTGCTTATCAACCTCGCCGCTTACCTGTGACTTAGCAGGGTTATTTAAATCGAAGCACGGTGGTTTTTTTGCTTGTTTGTTTGTTTGTTTGTTTTGTTTTGTTTCTGTTTTTGCGGGAGCAATTGTTTGCGACCACCTCAGCCACGCTGTAATTTTATCGTGTATAAAGAAATGCCTTTACTGTTGTTATTATTATTGCGATTTTTTTTCTCAATGAGTAGGATCTGATAGGGACAGAACAGTTGACCGCTATCCCAGGAAATACTACACACCAGAAATATTTTACTGACTTTTTTTAAAGTTAAAAAAATTATTTTGCTGTCTTAAAGGATTGACAATAGAGCAACAAGTTTGAAAAAGCGCCCTACACGTTGGACATTGTTCAATGAAACTATGGAAGTGAATTTTTTTTTCTTTTTCTTTTTTTGGCGTTCTTTTATGTATATTGTATTGTGGGGTTTGTTTTTTGTTTTTCTTGGAGAAAGTTTTTTGTGTGGATCAAAGGACAATACGCACAATTCGCTCAAATTCAAAGCCGCAAATTTTGAAGGCTCACAGTAGACTGTATCCTTTCAGTTTTCTTGCTACCGTCGTCTCGGATGAAAACGAGTTCTAGCTTGACGACATATGATATTTTACTTTAATGAATACCTGGAACGTTGTTGCCTTTCTAGGACATTGCTCAAAGAGTTGGTGACTAGCCTGGCGCTTGGGGTTCTGTCAACACACGAGAAATTAGTCAAGGAACACAAATCGAGTTTAACTCAAAACCGCGCCCTACAGATACTGTTTGACCTCAGATTCATAACAACAATCCTCATGGGACGAGCCGAGGATGATGATTCGGAGTTTTCAAAGCGGCTGGAACATGTCATAGACACTTTAGAAAGCTGCATCGATCCGTTTGATCTAGATGTGTTTTCTCCTCACATGACAACAAATGTCAACCGACAGCTTCAAAAATGCGGGGTGAGTGCAAGGCGCAGATAGAATCTTCTCGTGGGGTGTCACAGTTACGAATTTCTGCGCTCCTTACGTGAATTGACGCATTCATGCCGCGAGAAGGACCGTTGAATGAAGTGTCTAATTCTGAAAAAGATTGATTCCTTGATTATCCTTCGGTTTCTCGGGTTTACGCAAACATAGATAAGTGTGAAGTATTCATACAGTGAAATGTAACTTCAGATACTTTCACATGTAAAAGCTAAAAGGGGTAATGAAACGGGAGTGATAGACGCATGCTGAGAACCCTAACATGGGACCTTCCATGGGTAAATGATTTTTTTTTTGTCCGTCAGATGAAGGGTCACTTCGCCGACACGTCAACTCGCCGACACCTTTAGTGACTTGATGACAACACTGATCAACTCAATACATTCACGGAAGGTAGCTAACCTGTTTGTTCAAATGATATCAATCAGGATGTCGGCGTTTTGACCAATGGTGTCGGCGAGTTGGTGATCGGTGAGTTGACATGTCGGCGAAGTGACTGGGTACCTTACGCTAGTGGCTTTAGTTTTGATTGTGCTCCTATGAAAGCACTCGAAGCAGAATTTAGACATTTAGACAGACATTTTCTTGCCCACTCAAGTCAAAACTTCACTTGATGTCGTATTTCGTGAGACAAGATTTTCCTTCATGAATATTTTGTTTTTAGGTTTTATTTGGCGTCTTATCAAGTCTTGACAAGCACTTTTCTCATTCCTTTGGAGTTACGCAACGTCCTTCCCCAGGCTCTCAAGACCAACACAACGTTATGCCGTTGGCTCCCAATCCACCTCGATTTAACTTGTTGCCCCTCAGTTCCTATTCAAGCGTGGGACCTGCGTACCAAACTGGAGATCACAACGACAGCCACCAAAAGGTATACCTGGAAAATTGCATATTTGTTTTTCACTTTGTTTGTTTTGTTTGAAACTCAACAAACTGAAATATTGAAACAGACCCAGCAGAACCACTGGGAGGGAAGAAATATCAAAGCTCCCTCTTGATTACATCCAAAGAAAGATTCAAACTAGGAGCGGTGAAAGAGTACAGTGCCGTTATATATTTCTAAAAATGTGACCTCCAGTCTTCATCACAATTTATGCATCCTTGAATATTCAGTCTGAAATATTTTAAGTTCTTCATTAATTTTAATCTTAACTTTTTTACCCTGTCACTCCCAGAACTGATTAACTCGTAACTTTCTTTTCTAACATCCATACGTTATCCAGCCAACAGGTAATGAGAATGTTCAAACTTATCAGGTAGAAGTTGTTATCTTGATCCAACACTAAATTCACTTGACCGATTTACAATAAAGGGGAGAACTAACAATCAGATCTTGATAGCTAAAGATTTGTTGGAATCGCGACCCTTGCGGCCACGGTTCCTTTCCTAAAGAAATATTCTACGAGGTGAAAACTGTCCGAAATATTTAGACTTAGCTGGTAGGCATTTTATTACCTTTATATCCATTCCCGTTCGATAGGAGGTGTACTGCTGTTTTGAGTTGCTCATTTAATAATTTTATTTTTTCTCATATAAAAGCTTGTTTTATTCGTGTATTTAAGTTAAAAAGTTATGGGATGGAAATATACCGCTAAAATTCAAGCGTAATCGTGGCTGGCTTAGTCTTAAGAATTTTCAGTGATAAATTTGACTGTAAAACCATAGCTTGTGTCTTCAGACAATCCTCTTGTACCACTTACTTTTATCTCATTCTTTTTCAGGAGTCGTTGAACCAACATGAAGATTCACAGCAGGTGATGACTCGCACAGCGTTATTTAAACACTATCAGTTTTTTAACTCAGGCGTGGGTTATGTGAAGAGCTGAAGACAAGACGTTGCCATGTTTGGTAATACTTTTAGACATTCGACTGTAGAAGTAACAGATGTGGATTCTCGCTCATGTGATGAACACTTTTCCGAAAAATTCAAGATATAAGGAACTGGCTCTTAACAACTACCCATGATTTAAAAAAGGTGTTTATAATATTCGGGTATGTAGCTTTTGTGGTGAAAAAAAATTCTGGGTAAAGGCCCCAGAAAGAGGTTGGTCTAAGGGTTGAAGATATCCAGGATAAAAATCGCAGATTACAGCAGAGATGAACTGATCCAACTCCGTGTCCGTTGTAACTGTAAAGATCTTGAAAGAAGTTAGGGACATCTGCGGTTCGCGAATACGGAACTCAAATTTAGTTGTCTTTTTCCGCACAGAATATTATATTTATGTTCGGTCTAACCTCAATTAGTTGTCATTGTCGTGCTTTATAACTTAGGAACATGTGGCCTCGTTATGGTGCATGTGAAAAGGACATTTACACCGGTCCGTGGCCAAATGCCTTGAGCTTGTGAGTCAGTTTAGTCGGTTCCAAATTGATTTTTTATATTTGCGTCCTATTACATAGATCAAATACTATTCGAATTTTTACTTGGAAAAAAAAACACACCAACACAAAAGAATAATACACAGATAGCCGTTACAATATAACTCATCGTGCGTAGCTGAAACACTTGACATCGGCTAGGAAACTGATTGTGACATCCATTACTTAACAATTTGATTGGGAGGTTGTTGTGGTTTGGTCATGAATCAATCTTCCGCGCTTCATTATTCATTCAAGATTCATTCAGTATTCCACCTGTTTCCGACCTAATGGCTGGGTCAGTCTTTGGTTTGAACTTAACAGTATCAGTTAATTGTAAGCATATATCATTGAACTGCCACGCACCAGACGTACCACGATGATTCTTCATAATTCTAGAAGAAAAACCCCGATGTTATCCCGATAGGAGTTCCTAAATTGTTTACCTCCATCGAAGAGTCGTTAACACACAAAAAAAATTGAAATCTGGCTGACATGTACGTTGATAAAAGATTGAGACTTTTTTTATGACATCATGTGCCATGAGAGACATGCCTCTTTTCAAATATAGTGGCGATATATATTAATCGATGACGAAGTCCAAAACCACCAATTTCGATTAAAAAAGACATTTTCCATTAAATGACCGTCATGACTTGACTGCACGTGAAAAGGACAGTGGCTGGTGACAGCATGCAGTAAAGGAAGTGACCTCATGGTTACCTGACTCGGCACATGTAATGACTTCCTTTTTATGACGTTGTAAAACAAGGAGGCTGTGTCATGTAAAACAGAGGACCGGACATTTTATCAAATACACGCTCATTGTAGCGCGAAGCCCGGAAACAAATATTCTTAAACAACGGCATTGAGTGGGTCTCTAAGACAACAACCTTTTCAGTGTTTTATGTTCAGATTAAAGATTTTCAAACAATGCGGAACGTGGTTGAATGGAAAGAAATGGAAAATTCGGCGATACGTACGTACTAAATAAAGCCGTTAGATAATTTTTATCGAAAAGAAAAGCATTGAAAATAGCAACCAGTCACGTAAGCAACTTTCTCAAGACGAAAATGACGAATGTGATAAGTGGCAAATGAGTCTGATAATGGCAACTGACGACATAAGACAACAGCCGTGCAATTCGTTGTTCATGAATTTCTGTTTCAAGTCGCACTCCAAAAAAATTCATTGAATTCTTTCGGTCATAGTTGCATCCCCCCAAACCCATTGAATGAATGAACCGTCCAAATTAAAAATTTTTGTATTGATTCTCTTGGAGAAATTATCAATGTTTCGTCTGCAATTAACAACCGGATTGTAGCTTTGGGTTCCATTTAAACTTCTGCTGTTCCTTTGATGTTGCCTTGGGAGGGAAGGTGAAAGAGAAGTTACCTACAAGGCAGGGACTTCAATGAAAGCTGGTTACCTTTAGTCTACTGTCGCTAATAAGATCTCTTACCGCCGTCTGATTAGCCTCCGAGGCTATCAGTCGTGTTTTGTTTTCGCCTTACGTTACCTTTTATATCAGCTATTACATCGTACCATTGGCTACCGCTAATGGAAAAAGTTATTGAAACTCTCACAGGGGTCAGTTGAAGTTCACTATACCAGGATTTCTGTGGTTTGAAGTTGTGGGAACATTGACAAATGTCTAGTGCACGTAAAATGGAGCGTGGGGTTTTTTGTTAAGTTTTGTCCGGTACATCTTTCAGTTATCCATTTGATTGATTGATTTGTTTTTCAGTACTCTCTCACTTCCCCTGGGCGTTACTTTTGAATCAGGAGTACCGACCTGTCGGGCGCGGTTGATCACAATAAAAAAGAAATCAGACCATTGTCAGGGAATAACTGCTTCCGTAAATGCACGTTCTCACCGCTATGGAATCTTCAAACTCGTTAGAGAACTGCTAGAGGAAAGTAATATACGTACGGAGCTTATCATTGTGTTGAATGATTTTTACAGACGGCTGGTTTCGCTAGCATGAGGAAAACTTGCGTGCCAAAATGGCAAACCTTCGATTTTCAGAAGGACTTGTCTTTACCCTGTGCTTGGGTAACATGCAGCTCCGTTACTTAAAGCGTTTTTCCTACGAACAGCACTCATTCATTTTAGTTTCAGGCTACTCGAAACACTTCTGTTTCACACGCACTGAGTTGCGTAATGATGCTGAAGAGCATATACTTTGAAATATGTAATGATAAAGGAATGAGATTGCTTCTAGTTCAAATGCTGATTCAAAAAATGACAGAGGAGCCTGTGCCTGAAATATTGTCACTAACATTTTTCAGAGAAGAACTTGGTATCGCCCGAATCCATCTCACCTTTGAACTAGCATCACTCACCTTCACTACTCATAACAGACACAAACTCGATTCTCTCAGGCACTGAGTTGTCAGAAAACTTTTCGCTGCCGTGTAAGGACGTCTTTTGAAGCTCCTTTTATTCTTCCTTCAAAATGGAAAATTGTGATGAACAGCAAGTGGTCAATAACTGAAAAAACTATTTGTCTGTTTACAGGGGTGCGGTCATCCGTGACCTGCAAGGAAACTTCGATCACAAGTTTGAATGATCTTAAGATCAGAAAATAGAAATCAGTTGACGATCTCATTGGAAGCTAGTCTTTTATTAGCTTCCGCGAATATACGTTTATATAAGCTAAGTATAAGGAGCCATCAGTTTTCTTAGCAATGAGTGCCCTGATGCAACTGAATTCGTGAATAATATACAAGTTGCGATTGCGCGAGTTTCGAACACCTTCTTAGGAGAACTAAATCGAGTTATTTTAAATTTCTCTAATTTAGTCTAATTTGTAGAATACAGCTCGGCATTATCTGCCAATCAATTTTGTTTAATGTCCCGTGACAGTTGAAGAAGACGGGTGGCTCACTGTGGAAACCTGATTTTTTAGGACTGTTACGGGAATGGATAGCGATTTATTTTCCCTAAAGTGAAAACTATCACAATGTGTAAAACTTATAAATGCCCATAGACAATTGCTGTTTAAATCCTATTTCCACATTTTACATTCTTTACAAAAAAAATAACGTCTTGGCCATTTTTAGGTCTATCACCATTACGGTTTTCTTTAGCAAAAATCACTCAGTTCGAGAGTTGTCGTCTTTGTTTCTATCGTCTGTTGCAGTTTGTTACGTAACTGGTAAGATATTTCTTCAAGTTTTGTAGCAGACCTGTATACAGCTTCTTGGCTTTTATACAGACACGGAGCTGGGTTGACGTCAATACACTTAGAGCTCCGAAGAAATCGCACGTGGAAAGTCCAATATAACAATTGGAAAGAACGTCCTAGATTAATATCACTCGCCAAAAAATGACCTTGGTTCTACATACCAGAGGAGATACGATTCAGTAGGAAAGGAAGTTTGGAACTAACGCTTAAGTCACGAATTTCCCTTGCGGGGGTTGTAATTAGAAATACCAGCGCCACGTCAAGATCTTTGCTAATTAAGCTCTATATTCAACGCAGTGCTCATTTTGTCAAGCTTAATAGAAAGTTTGATTATTAATTACCCATTAAGAACAAACTTCTGGGCAGTAGAGTTAGTGTAGTAAATCTACATTACGTAACTGACTGAACGGCTATCTAAGGTCGTAACCGTTAATTTGCATGATATGAGGGCAATACAAACATTATTCATTCCTTTCTGAGTTTTCGTTACAACTTTGGATCGCGAGACATGCTGGAGGTAGAAAACAAAATGAATTAAGTTAAGATGAATTTTCAGAAGTTAATTGCTCGAAACGGTCAACTCGCACCTTCTTGTGAAAAGAGCCTTTATTTATTGTCGAGTGGCGACCCGAGTGGTCCATTAATACCCGTCACAACACTTTTTGTGGATCCAATCAGCTCTGTAAATGAATTCAGAGACTTAGGTTTTCATTTAACTAGATGCAGAGGTACTGCGAAGGGTGAATAAAATTAAAAAGAGCCTTAAGTTTGACAGGATGTTGAATGAAAATTAATTACCCTACTAGTGATGTTAAACTGTGTGTCCAGGTTTTGTTACGAACTCTCCAATTTTGTTAAAACTATATTTCTAGGCCAAGATCACAACAACAATCGCCTTTAGTACTTGAGTTTTATCCTTTTATTATGCAGTGCCGTTGATGGTTTCTGTGGTTTTTTACGAACAATGTGTCGTAAACACGACGGTGAATCACGCCTCCTCCACTTAATTCCGCATACGATTATCGACAAAGCTTTCCATAATAGTAATCTGATAGCAAGAAACATCAAAGCTTACCGCATAAAAGGCGATCGTGCTAAAAGTGGCCATTGCTTGTTCTAAAAACCTCATTCATTCCCCTATGTAATGTAGCCGATTGCACCTACTCAAGCTATTTTTAGATAATCTTTGATAAAACTTGATGTTTGGCAAGACAAAGCTTAAGATGGAAAATTCGAGGGAGAAGTAGCGAAGGCACAGCATTCGCAAAACAAAGTCTTTCTTTACTTTTTGAAACGGCCGCGAGATGAATTGTATATCAGGCAAACTACATTAATTAGTTCTGTTTTGTGTTTCATTCATTTTATGAAATATCTATAATTAAGAGACTCACAATTGGAGACTTCAAGGATAATGTTTTTATTCTCAATGATCTGTGGTCGTGTTCCCCATTCACAGCAGTTTGTATCATGTTTGCTGAAGTTTTTTTGCGGCATTAGATGTAATAGAAGATAATGTTTCGTTTTCAGAGATATCATGCAAACTTTTAAATACAAAAAGAACAAAATTTGATGTTTTAAAAAGAAAATTCTGTGTTCAGCCTCCTATCAGCAATATTTTCCAAGGACACGAGAGCTAAAGCAAAACGCCTGCATGCACCTCCAGGTCTCTCCCCAAGTCGACGGGTCCATGTATGAGACGATATTCTTTATGCATGAGATGACTCAGTCAATATTCAAACTCACAGCCAAACTCGACAGCCTAATAATAGAACTATGAATTTAAATTTGACAGCTCTTTTTCAAGTAAACATTGGAGCTGCATATAATTTGCGTCGGAAACAATGAATATTTAGAACTATGGCCTCGCCGCCTTAGATCATCATGTAAATTATAGTCCAATAGTCTCGCAGACTGCGTGTATGTTTGTATCTCAGATTGATAGATTTGAACCGATGGTTTACAAATGTTCAAAACCCCTTATGTTTAAATCATAACCTTTGTTCAGCCGATCGTATATATGGAAAAAGTCATGTAATGCTCTATGCTGGCAAAAATGACAACAAAATAAAGATAACCACTTCAAATTTGTTACTCGCGCTACAGATAGTGACGCCCATGACAAAAGAAATTTTTCCTGAGCTGTTTTAGGAGGTCGTAAGGTATTTGGAAATTACAAGTTCGCGGGTGGCCTCATATGCTTAAGACTCAAGATTATTGTTTGCCGTGGTTAGTTCTCTTTCACCTGCTAAAACGAAACACATAGGACTCTCTGCCCTTTGGACATGACTTCTTTCTGAAAAATCTTTGCTTGTGAAAACCAACTAGCGTAGAGCTCTTGCATGACCTGAACAATTGTTATTCTCTCCTTATTTCGCATCGCTTAGCAGATGTGAAGACGCGATCATAAACAATGTTCTTATTTTGCATATTGGGTGTGCTACAGACAAGGTGACAACAATACACGGGAAGATTTTGCATATTAGACTTCCGCTCTGAAGATGCCCTATTTTGCAATGCGACTTTGATGAAGACTATTCGTCCTGTTAGCTGTCCACAAGAATGTAGAGAAAACAGTTGGATATGTTTGTTACGAGTCTTGTTCAACCTGAATCAGGAAATAATATATCAACTCCACGTAAGGGCGTGATGGTCTTTGAAACTCTCCCAATCAACACTGTGACACATATTTGACAAGCGGCGGTTGAAATTGACAAGACGCTGCACCTCCCGCCAACTTCAACCAATCAGAGCACGACAAGAGCCCCACGTGTAGCAGATGTTGCTAATGAGTGGTGCATTATGGCCTGACTTGAGGTCAAAACCAAATGACGTCTATTCCGGCTTTCACTTGAAGCAAAACTAGAACTATCTAGAGGTGGTTCGAACCTCGCAACGTAAACCACGGCACAATTACGGAGTTGCAGCTGACGGCTCTCGGAGCAACTGTTTCCATATGCCGAGCTCACTTCTTGTCGAAATGGACCGCTCCACAAATGGGCAATTAGAGGCAGATCAGAGAGCTCTGCAAATCGCCCTCGAGCTCTCCATGCTCGGTCTAACGAATGACGACGATCAAACTTCGAACGCGTTTGACGATATTCGTAATAAGAAAAGTATGAACATGACGGAGTGTGTTCCTGTACCAAGTTCCGAGCATGTAGCCGAGATAGTTGGAAGACAAGGTACGTTTTGGAGTCGCTAGCTAGTATGTAATCAAATTAGCTGAGTGACTTGCGGAAACCGCGTGTATTTGACGTGTTTTTGTGCTTGGCTGTATTTCAGGTTGCAAAATCAAGGCTTTGCGAGCGAAGACGAACACTTACATCAAAACACCTGTACGTGGTGAAGATCCCGTCTTCGTAGTAACGGGGAGGAAAGAAGATGTAGCTCTGGCCAAACGCGAAATTATTTCAGCTGCAGAGCACTTTTCGCAAATTCGAGCTCAACGAAAGAACAACAGCCTGAATTCACTTGCTCCTGGGCCACCGAGCCCCACCACTCCGGGACAAACTACAATCCACGTTCGAGTACCGTATAGAGTTGTTGGTCTCGTTGTGGGTCCAAAAGGAGCCACGATCAAACGAATTCAGCAGCAAACGAACACATACATTGTAACTCCATCAAGAGACAAGGAGCCTGTGTTTGAAGTCACTGGAATGCCTGACAACGTCGAAAGTGCGCGAAAAGAAATCGACAACCACATTACTACGCGTACCGGCGGTAGAATGGATACAACAGACGATGTTTTCATCAGTGATGGACTACAAGGCTCCTTCAACGATTTCACTCCCAGCTCGATATATTCCAGCGTGTCGTCAAGCTTCTCTGCGTTTAGTGAGAGGAGCAGTTCGCTGGTTTTGCCTCAGCGTACAAGCTCGGATTCATTCTACGGCTACCCCAGCAGCAAGAGTTCTAGCATCAACGATGGCGGATTTAATCCGATCACCAGCCCATTTTCCGCGAATAGTTTCTTCTTCAATGAACTGCCCTCGCCGGACCGCGATGTTGGATCAGAAGGGAGTTCGTCTGGTTCAGGATTTGATCCTGCACCCGCTCCACCGTCGCCGTCCATCTGGGGAAACGTGCAGTCTACTCGCTCCATCAACGAGCCGGCAGCATTTACACGTAGCTCCAGTTTAAATAGCCAAGCTATGAACTCAGCAATCGGTCGGCCTGCAAGTCCACATACCACCGCAAGACGCATGAAGAGCGATCCTCTAAATGGGAACTTTTCGCCACTGTCAGCATTTACTCCATTTACCACCCAGGTTACCACATCAAATGTTTCATCCATTCCAGCTACAAGTTCCAATGGAACTGTCAACACAAGCGAAACAAACGGGGTGAGTACCATTGGTTTTAATTCTGCAGAGGAAGCGAATAATAACAACACCACATTAAGCCCGCTCGGTAAAGATCTCAAAAAGAAGGATTGCGTCATTTGTTGTGAAAGCGAAGTTGTGGCAGCTCTCGTCCCGTGCGGCCACAACTTGTTTTGTATGGAGTGTGCCAACCGCATCAAAGATGAGAATAATTCTTGCCCAGTTTGCCAGAAAAATATAGACCAAGTTCTCCGTATATTTTCTTAAGATCTAAGCACGAGTGTGAGCGATATAACGATACTACATTTCGACGAAGTTCAGTGAATTTGAAATCTATGAATTGAAATGTCATGTAATGCTATAAACATTTTGAAGTAATCTATGGAGTGTATTTGAATTAATTCAGAGAGAATTTTTCTCTATGTATATTTAGTTGAAATTTTCAAGGATGCTTTTAATCTATACTTTTGTTAGTGATAACGTTATGTAAAGCTAGATTTTTTGCTAATTTAAGATTAGTACAAATGAGAAAGACTTAAGTTATGTAAAGAAACCACGTTGCTGGGTTAAATTATCTAGAGAAATAAAAACACGCTTGGCCGTGTTTGGAGCCAACTTACCCAAATCTTATATTCAAAAATTAGTTTCTAAGTTTATAAACCGTCATAGCAAAATTATCTGGAATCAGTAAATGAAAGTACATGCTATATATGAAACATAACCGGGTTAGATTCCTCTACCCAGCACAACGCATAGGTATATTTATGTGGACTATTTTATGTCATATTCGATAACTTTTTTGATACAGTCTTCTAAGGAATTCT